CTCTTATACACATCTAGATGTGTATAAGAGACAGGTGCTATACCGTGGGAATATACACTGCCATACTTTTTTTCGTTTTTTTTTTTCGTTTTTTTTTTTTCCGATTTTTTCGTTCGTTTCACTCCCACGTTCGGGATGCCTGCGCCCGGTAGTCCGAGCCTCGGCACGGATCGGCGTACAGGTTGGCCGAGGCTCAATAGCTGGGCCAGGTACTGGTGGTTTAAAGATCCAAGGGTGGGTGGTGGGAAACCCGTGTCCGTGGTTCAGGCTTCCTTGAGTTTATAGCTTGGTACTTGCTCTCTTTTCTGTAAGATCTTGAAGCCAAGCTGGGTAAGGCTCCCAGATAGACTAGCAGGAGAACAGTTGCACACTAGTTTCCTCTGAGTTTCCAGCACAAACTTCACTTCCGGGTTGAGATGTTGAGGGATTCCCGGCCTCATTTGATTACATTATAATATAAGCTGGAAAAAAAAAAAAAAAAAAACTATTCGGTTTTGGGCGCCTGAAACTCGCCGTTGGGTACTACAGGACCACGCGTCGCTCCAAGGGTACTGCCGGATCATGAATCTGGCGCATAACAGCGCCAGATTCATTTTGATGTAAAAGAGGCCTAGGGTGGTACCGCTGAAGTATAGAATGAGACCCACGTACCGTATTTCGAAAAAGAAGGGCCCTGCCAGTTCATGAATCTGGCACAAAAACAGCACCAAATTCTTGAACCCGTAAAAACAGGCCCAGGGAGTTGGGGCCACAGGGCGAAGGCGCCTTTCACCCAGGCTGAAGACTTCGTTTGGGCCTGTAGTACCTGTATGGCTTCTAGTCCCAATTTGCCAACATCTACGGGTCATCCCGCCGTATGCTTCATGTTATATTTTTACATTAAGTCGCGTTCGGGGATTGTTTTTCAGCTGACGACCTTGCTTCTTTCCTTCTTCTTCTTCTCCCTCCTTTTCTTCTTCTTTTCTTCTTTTTTTTCTCTTCTCTCTTCTCTCTCTACTCTTTTTTCCACTATCTCTTCTCTTCCATTGTTAGCTTGATGGTTTTTTTTCTCTTCTCTCTATAGCCGGTGTGCTGACGACTTTGTCAAACTTCAACTGTAGTACCAAACGGCCAAGTTTCGGGCGCCCAAAACCGAATAGGTTTTGGCGTGGGCTGTTTCTACCAATTATCCCGATTCTGCCAATCACCTTGAAGTTGGGCGCCAGGCTCCGCTGCACATCCCCATAATTGCCTTGTCAGTTTCAGTTAATATCCCCTCATCTATCTCCACCTCCTTGGCTTCTCCTCTCTCCTGCAGTCTTCCCCGGAATACAATGTAAGGTCATTATCATGGCTGAATAACTGAATTTGGGGCATCTTTCAGTCTAAATTCAGCTATAATGATGGTACGTTGTATTCGGGGAAAGACTGTATCTGGTGTGTTCAAAGCCTTCTGTTTGTTGTCTTTCGTCTCTCCTCCGCAATGGATGGGGTCATGCGCGACTGCCTCTGTCCGTCGCTATAATATGGAAAAGCAAATAGTACCGCTCACTGCAGTTCGGCGCAACCGTCTTCACCCGAATAGAACGCCGGGTCATTATAGCTGTATCTGGCACAACTTTCGGTCCCAGATGCAGCGATAATGACCGGGCATTTTCTTCGGGTGAAGACGGTAGTCAACAACTCCACGCGGCCAAGAGACAAAGCTATATCCCTCACTAAGGGAGGAGCTTTAAGCAGACAGGCACACAGGCATGTAGACATACATACATACATACATTACATACATACATACATACATACATACATACATACATACATACATACATATATACATATGAGAGGAAGGAGTGGTGTCTGCTCTTGCCAGCACCCCTAGCATCTTTTTTTTTTTTTTTTTTTTTTTTTGAATAAATCCTTAACATATATATTCAACAAGATCGCAGAGGCCGGGGACCTCACAATTCAACCCGGGAAGTTATCCTGGCAGCATCAGCCAATTTAGCTTGCAGTCTCACGACTGAGTGACCCCAATTCCTATTTAACCCACATGATATCAAAAGACTTTGTTTTTTGTCACATTCCTTCCTGTTAAAGTAGTCTTCTGACCAGCAGTTCAACACTCTGAGCCTACCGCTACTTATGTCACAACAGGATATCTACACTGTTTCACACCGGCGAATATAAACTCCTTCCTATCAGCCACTTAGCCTACTTAGATTCTGCCCCTACACTCTATTCTTCCGCTGACACTATCCTCCTACTGATGGGGCCTACTCATGGCACCCCAAGACCAACCTACGCAGCGGTTGGGTGGAACTCGCGTTCCCCATTACTGTTGACACTCATCCACTCTCCTCCCACTGTTGTGCCTCCTGCTGCTGAAATCATATGCGGGAACCGAGTGCCCTGGTTCCCCTTAACCTGCTACCTAAACAAATACCGGCTCCTAACTCTCTGTTATCCTACCTGTCCTGTGCTGGCTCTTTCACCCAGGGAGAAAAGACCAGTCCCTTGGTCCTGTGAACTCCAGCCAGCTGGTGACAATGCGCCCAAGTATTCAAAAACCAACGCAGTTGCCTTCTGCTCACCTTACCGGCCTTTGCTCTTTTCCTCCAGTCCACTCTGATCGCTTCCCTCAGCCCCTGTCTCACTGCCTTTTTTATCTCCACATCTGAGAAGGGCCTTCTCTCGAATCTTGCCCTATTCCTGTCTTTCCAAATAATCTCGCAGAGAAGCCCCCTTACTACCTGCGCAATGTAGGGCCATCCCCGGTTCCTGTGTACTCCTGCTGGGAGGAACCCCAGGAGGACCCATTTCTCCTCCCAGTCGACCACTGGGTCCCCAAATCGCTGCCAGTGGAGTTTCCACCACTTCCAAACTCTTCGAGATGCAGGGCACTCCCACCAGAGGTGTCTCGTGGATTCGAATGGCCAGTTGCAACGGGGGCACTTTAGTTCTACTTGCATTCCTCTGCTGACGAGCCAGACCGCTGAGGGTGTTACCACCAACGACATTTGCCACAGTATCGCAACCTGCTTGCCGTTCGGGAGATATGTCAACGACTCCCACAGGGCCTGAAATGACGGTCCAGCCTCCGACAGATCTTCTGAGATAACTGCCTGCCACCTGCTGATTGCCACCTGAGCCGGTGATCTTCTATTCCCGGTTTTCAGTCTCATGTTATAACCCTTTGCAACCGAGTAATCAGATAGAGGTAGTTGGGGTTGCTTTACGTCTTCTGTAGCCCAGCTCCAAGCTGCTGGGTCGATACAGAGTTTCCTCAGCGGTGAATGGCCCACCCATGTCCACTTCTTCCGCTCTTCCACTGTGCCTCCTTTACCCACTATCCTTGCCTGTGGGGGATTGCTCCAGGTCTTGATGATCTCTTCGTTGCTGGCCACTAACTCGTTTGATGTTCGCTGGCACTTCCATCTTCGAACTCTCCTGAAGCCACTAGGCAGAATTTCAAGCATTTCCCACACTTCATCCGCGTCCTCACCATTTGCACAGTACCAGGTGCCCACTGGGTCAATGCCCTCCGGGCCTAGCAGCTCACGCCATTCTATCGGAATGGCTTCCAATATCTGTTGCAGGTGCGGTTCGATGTTTCTCAGTGGGATGAGGATCTCCTGCACGTCTTCTAGCCGCCTCCACGACCCCAATAAGTGGTTCCACAGGTCCCCAATGGTGACTATGCCTTTACGAATCCAGGCCAACCCAAACGAACCTGCCAACGCATCGGCCTCGAACTGGTTCCCGCCCTTGTCAACAATCTGGGGGTTCTCGAAGAGTAATTGGGTCTGTACTTCCTCCTTTGTCTGTGGTTTGGTGCTTGTGTCTGGTGGAAGGTTGCTCCAAGCCTTAAGGACTTCCTTCCAAAACCGTGACTTCACTCTCTTCCTTTGGAAAGAGGGGATGAACAGGCAGCACCACACGTCCTGTGCGCGACTTAGGCCCCATTCTCTCATCAATATCTGTTCCGCCAGTTCTATCCAGTGCTCCTTCACTAGGGCGCTTGCAACTTTAGCAACCCACAAACTGAGTTGTGCTTGATTCTTCTTCGCCGGATCGACCAGGTTCAACCCTCCCTCACAGCGTGGGAAGGTAAGGAGTTCCCAAGCCACTTTCACCAGAAAACCTTCCCCCTCCTTCGCATTCGGTTTCCAAATAAACCGAGCCACCAGCCTCTTGACAGCCTTCCACACGCTCTCCGATACTTCTCTCACTGTACACACAAACCACATGATAGAGAACAACGTCATATTGGCTACCAAAGCTCTCCCAATGATCGACAAGTGCTAGACAAGTCCCCAAACTCGCAGTCTTGTGGCGACTCTTTGCTGCAGCAGCATTCCTTGTGCGGAGACTCCTATTTGAAGACTAACTAGCACTCCCAGGAACCTCTCCTCTTCTCCCTCTAGAATCCTCTTCATTCCCCGTTGCACCGATAACTCGAATTGTGCAGGCAAGAGAAACACCGATTTGTTCCAGTTGACCGAGGCCTCCGACAGCGCCGAATATTCATGTAGGATACCCTTCAATGTGCTCAGTGAGGCGCTTGAGTTCTCGCTGATGACGAATAGGTCATCAGCGAGGGCTTTAACCTTGCATTGTGTACCGCTGTGCAGGGTCAAGCCTTTGATGATCTGGTTTCTGCGGATTCTGTTCAAGAGCACCTCCATCTGTAGAACGAATAACAGTGGGGCAAGTGGATATCCTTGCCTCAAGGACCTTGAGAGCTTGAAGGACTTTGACAAGTGGCCATTAATCATTACGACTGAAGATGAGAAGGTATACATTGCTACAAGCCATTTGCAGAAAGGAGAGCCAAAGCCCATTCTTCTCAGCGTTGTGAAGACAAAGGGCCAGCCAACTTTGTCGTAGGCATTTTCAAGATCCAACAGAAGGACTACCGTATTCATGCTTTCAGACTGCACCCACTCCAAGACTTCCAGCGCTGTAACTATATTATTGAAAATCGACCTCCCTTGTACAAACGCTCCCTGATCTCCTTCAACCAAATCAGGTAAGTGACACCCCAATCTACGCGCCAATGTCTTCGCCAAGATCTTGTAGGACACATTCAACAGCGAGATTGGACGCCAATTCCTAACCTCAGTCTTATCGCCCTTTTTAAACAGCATGCTGATCACACCATGTGTCATCCCTTTTCCCAAGCGACCGTCTACCAAAATCTGATTATACAACTCCACTAGCTTTGGGCCTAACGAGCCCCAAGTCGCGTTGTAGAATTCCACTGTCAAACCATCTATGCCTGGCGATTTACCCTTGGCCATGGACTTGACTGTCTGAGATAGTTCTTCCAGCGTTACTGGTCTGTCCAAATCCAATCTCGCCCTATCCGAAAGCTCAACGTTCGTGTCCTCCCACATGTCTGAAGAAGTTGATAAATCCGAAGCCGGGTCCTCTTGTGGTCGTCTTGAAGTGAGTATGTCTTCATAATACAGCTTTGCGTAATGTAGCATGCCTGAGGCCGTCGCTGCATTCGGGGCGCTGCTGTCGAAGGGGTGGCGAAGTTCCACCGTCTGATGAGAGGCTCTTCTAGGCTGTAGTTTTTGGAATGTTTCCTTGGTCATCAAGTCATAAGTTTCTATCCCTTTCTCTTTAAGCGTCTAAGTCCACCTTCTCTGCTTGTCTTGTTGTATCTTGTCCCATTCCTCCATTCTCCTCTCTCTCTGTGCTGCCCATACCATTGCTGATATGGGGTGGGCTTCCATCTTCCCTCAGCTTCCTCTACCCTTTTCCTACATTCTGCCTCTTTCACATTCCTCTTCTTCGCCAACACTCTAGAGCACACATCTAGAACCCCGGATATGATAGTCAGTCCCCCGTCCAACCACTCTGCTGTGTCTTCGAAAAATTCTCTAGCAGTTTCCCACCTGCCCATGTGATCATCAACACACTCCCTGACACCTGGATTTTCCAGGACTTGCTTATTTAGCCTGAAAAATCCTTTGCCCCTTTTGCATCCCTCCTGCAGTCTGATATCCGCTGACACAAGCTTGTGGTCTGATAGCGGGTTGCAAATGTGTCTTACCGATACTAAGCTGGGCAGCACTTGATCCGACACCAGCAGGTAATCTAAACGGCGTCGGGTTATCCTCTGCCTGTTGTGATGGAGATTGGAGAAGCAGGTAAAACCTGAGTCATCCGGGTTCAAAAGCCGAAACGGATCCGTCATAGACAGGGTCTCTATCAGTTGTAGCAACGTTTCTACATCCTTCTGTCCGGCACTCCCAGAGTCCAGGCGGAGCGCATCATCCAAGGACCTGTTCCAATCTCCCGCCAGAATAACCTTCTCCACCTTAGGAATGTTCAGAATTAGAATTCTGAAAAAGGTCTCCCTGTCTTTTAGATTTGTGGGAGCATACACTGTCATGAGCAGCCACTCATCCGCTCCCACCTCAACTCTCATCCACGCCCAGCACCCCCAGATGTATGCCTCTTTATCAATCACTCGGACCTGCAAGTCTCTGTGCAGCAGGATACAGACTCCTCCTCTGGTTCCCTGAGCAGGGGACCAGATTTGGGGCCCGTCCCACCAAGGGCCCAGGTCTCTGATCTTGTCCTCATTCAACTTTGTCTCCTGCAACATAATACAGTTCCTACTCCAATCGTGAATCCAAGACTTGAGGCTTCTTCTTTTAAATCTCCCGTTGGTATCCCCCAGCCCCCTAGCATTCCAAGATACTAACTTAAGTTTCTCCATTGGTCCCCTCTGTTCCCGCTTGGTCTTGGATGCAGGTCTGAACCAACACTTGCTCCGAGTGTTGTTGCGAGTGTCTCTCCACGCCTGACGTCTTGGTGCCACGAGATCTGTGCGAGGCTCTAGATCTGTCACGCGTACTACCTCTTGATGAGTTGGACTCAGAGAACAACTGCCAATCTGCAGTGAGCGCCTTCTCTAGGAATGGGGAGAGCAGACACTCGTTCGCCTGCAATTTCTGGTTGGCGTTTCTTAAAACAAGAGCAGAGATGTCCGGTATGATCTTTATCAGTTCCAATTCCTACGTGAACTGGTCTGCCAGTTCCGACATGTGGACCCACCGCACTCCATCTTGTGTCAACGAATCTGCCAGTTCCGGTGGGATGCGTGCATCTAGCAGAGGAAAATACAGTTTATAATACTGTTCCCCGGATTCCACTATCAGATTCACCATTGAAGAACGCGGGATCAATCGGATCGGAACGTGTTGGTCATACAGTGACTTAGTGAACTCAACAATTTCAGAAGGGGTGGGGGAACGGACGACATCCACTGAAGGTAGTACAGGCACCCCGTCTGTTTGAGCCAGGGCGAGGAAGTACACTCCATCATTGGCCATTGTGCAGAGTAATGGCACCAGTCTTCTTTGAACCTTATCTACTTGGCTCCTGCGAAGGGTATCCGCTCTTCCATCTTGGACCTGGAACAGATTCCCCTCCCCCATTGTCTCTTCAATCCCTGGCGGTTTTATTGCAGCCGAGCTGAGCATGGACGACCTCTCCCCTTCTGAGCATTCCAATGCCTTCTCTCCTTCGTACCACTCACTACCCCACCTCACTTTCGATTGAGACGATGCCGATGACCTTGACAGATCTCCTTGAATGTGTTCTACCCCTTCTGTTTGCTCTGGGGCTTTATTCAAGCCGCTCCTGTTACCCCTTGAATCGCGTTGTCTAGCCTGTGATCCTTCCAGTACACCCCTCCCTGTGCCAGTCCGCAATTCCTCTCCAGGTCTCAAGTGAGCATAATCCCTCTAATCTTCCTCCCTGCGCCTCCCTTGATCCCTCCAGCTGTCCCTCCTATTGCTCCCAATTGCTTTCGCCTGATCCCTCCAATCCCCACTGTTGAGTCTTCTACCGAGTCTCGAAGGCCCCGGCCTCGCAGATCTCCATGAGGGCCCGGGCGTTACCTGCTGGGACTCTCGGCACTGAGGGAGCAAGTCTCTCCAGTTATACTGATTAGAAGGGTACCTTGGGCGAGGACATACCGGCCCCAGTGGGAAGCCCGATTCTTGAACATGTTGTCCCATGTGCATTTGGACGTCATGGGACTCAATGCCCCACAACGGTTCTTGCCACTGCTGGTGTTCTGGCAAAGGGAACTCCCTTTCCTCGTAGTAGATTCCTTCCTGCCACTGCGTTCTGTCCGGCCAAGGGGCCGTTAGAGGAGGGCCCATTGTGTGTTCCAATGGTGTTGCGTAGTTAACATGTCCTCTCAGTTGTTGTTCCCCTGTATCCGGTCCACCCACCCTTCCAGACGGGCTGGCCTGTCCCCAAGTCCCTTGAACCGCATTCGCCGTTGCTCCCCTACTTCCTGGTCCGTTCCCCTGACGAAATTGGCCCTGCTCCCGTATGAGGCCGCTCGCGTATTCAAATTGTTGTTCCGAACCTATGCCTCTGACATCTTGGCTGCTGCTCAGGGGTACGTCTCTAGTTGCGCCCTGATCTGCCCATCTTGGCCCTGAGCTTGTGCGCTGGCTGACGCCCTGGCTTGTGACCTGGCTTGGTGCCTCTCATTAACTTCGCGTTTTGCCGCTATCGAGTCTCTCACTTGGCTTTCCTGCCTTTGCTGGTGTTCAAAGAATCTTGCCTTGTGCCCTCCTGGTCTGCCGGTTAACTTACTACCCCTCTCCTCCCCTTGTCGAGCTCTGGGGCAGTTACTATCCGTATGAAAATACCATTTGCAGCACCTGCACCAGTCTGTGTATGGCGTGGCAATCTCCACTCTCCACATCTCCCCAGTCGGGCCTTCAATAACTAACATGTCTTCCACCTTGTCGCGCACCTCCGGTGGCATGTCCAGTTTCACCTTCATCAGTTTTGGCCTTGTGCTGTCAAATTCTGGTGGGTGCATATGTAGGACATCGCCAAAAATCCCTTGTACTGCACTTCTTAAATAATAGTAAGCATCAAGGGGAACACGCAGGGCCATGATCCAAAATTTCATTTCTGCTTCTTGAAGTCTGACTTCTCTGAGCTCTTGAAGAGGAAGCCATGGTTTAAAGGACACAATATACTCCTCCGATTCTTGGAGCTTGATCCTTAGTTCCTTCTGTTGTAGCAACCACGTCGCAATCTGCTCTGACCTTGCTACGTATGAAACTACGTTTGCGCCTTCAAATTTCACTCTTCCCCGCTCTGCATCTAGACCGAAAATCCTCTTCGCAAACCAACCGTCTCCATAAGCCCTGATTAGATCCTCCTTCACTTGTCTTGACAAATTTATTGCTTCTCCTTGAAAAGTTACTATCACCGTATGATCTTTCAACCATGCATCCTTCACCGCGTTGACTTGCCCATTTACTACGAAGCGTTTACCATCTGGCCCCTCTACAACCTCCCCCAGTGAAGCATCGTCAGGACACACTCCCTGCGAATAACAACCACCAACAGATTCCCTCACAACAGATTCCCTCACAACAGATTCCCTCAACCTTTTAGTAGCTCTAGCTGACGCCGATGGAATTGGGGGGACATACCTCCCATTCGGATTTTGGTTTGCCATCACCTTCGCTTTCGGGCGACTGCTTAGACAATGAACAATACAATACCCTGATTCTATACATTATTTTATAAGGAAAAAACGAAACCCTATCTTGTTGACCTTGTACTATTGTGTAATCCTTCTGGAACTGACATATATTAACCAGAGTTCCTCTTGGATGCACATTAATTATTTGACCTATTACCTGGACCTCATCTGGCTGAATAGCACAAACCCAGTCGGCCTCCAAAAAAAACGATCCTTTTTTAAGAATGACTATCAAAGCCAGAGGGATAGATGTCAGTAGCAACTCCAAATTGTCATTAAGATTTCTAGCATATCGAATCTCTTTTTTTAATTGTGCCGATGATTTTCAATTTTTGCTTGCTGGATCCCAAAAGTCCTTAATCCTCACAACCCCTGACTTGACCCATGTGGACCAAGGAGACTCAAAACTCGTAAACACTTGTCCATTTGGGTTAGTAATCCATCTATTACCAAAAATGTGTTGCCTGAGGACTTCCTCATATCTAGAAGGAGGAGATTTATTGGGGATGGGGAGTTCACGCTATATTTTTAGTAACCTTGGCCAAAAATTATCTAAATTAAGATCCTTTCTGATCTCCCCTCTCTCTCCTTCATGTTTAGACTGTAAACGTGGCCGGGGTATGCTCCAGTATCTATCCTCTATCCATATGAGAGGACGAACTTCTCTTGTGGTAGGAGGTGTCAATCGTCGAATTTGTTCCAAAGCTAGGACCTGTCATTGAAGATTTATTTCCATGATCAGTCTTTTCAACCATTGTAGCGTCAATGCTTGACATTGGAGTAAGGGATCCAGAATACCTAGCCCCCTTTTGTCTTTTGGTTGGATCAGAACATGCCATGCTACCCGAGGTATGACATTTTGAGACTCATGGTTTCCTCTCCACAGAAAAACTGATATTTGTTTGATAAGACCCTTAGCTGATTCCTTGCTTAGAGCCCATATTGCTGTCTTGTACCATATAGAAGCCAATATCACATTATTGATTAAAAGATTTCTACCAAATAAGGATGTATGTTGATTCTTCCATTGTTTCATTTTTTCCAATGCCTGAGTAAATATTCATGTATCATTAGTAATAGGCCTTCCTTGTGTTGTGAGCACTACCCCTAGTACCTCATGTGGAAGCCATTTCACTTTAGGTATTTCTGGAGGTCTATCTCCGTTAGAATGAATCCACCACCCTTGCGTTTTACTCCCCTAGGTAACTACCATATTTGATATTAAGGAAAATTTATCCATAAGAGCTTTCATTTCTTCCATGTTTGCTGACGAAGCCTCCATCATGATTGTTAAATCATCAGCAAACATAGAACAAATTGGAATAGCCTCTTTTGGGATACCTGTAATCTGCAAACGCCTTAGATTGTGATTACTTCTTATATTCGCTCCCAGAGTTTCCACGATAATAAAAAAAAGAAAAGGAGTTAATGGATCTCCTTGTCGTACTGATCGTTGAAGATGAATTTCTGGGGAAAGTAACCCATTGACCTGAACTCTAGTAGTGACATTGGAATGAAGTATGTGTATCCATCTTCTTATATTTGGACCGAATTTTAATTTTTCCTTACAGGCTTCAAGAAAGCGCCAATCTACATGATCATATGCCTTCTCAAAATCAATAAATACAAATGTTGCATTCTGATGATTCTGCCTTGATAACTTAATCATTTCATTAATTAGCAATATATTATCCTGTATATTTCTTCCTTTAATGAATCCTGTTTGGGAAGGATGAATAATACCAACCATTACTTGTATAAAACGGTTTGCTAATGCTTTGGCCAACATCTTATATACCACTGTCAGTAGTGTTATGGGTCTATAATTTCTGATATTTGTTTTATCTCTTTTTTTGTATAATAAGGACAAGATTCCTTGACTAACTATTTCCCCCATTTGACCAGTTTGTTTGACCTGTTCATAGTATTCCATTAGATCCTCAGAGAAGGATGACAACATTGCCTCCCAAAATTCCTTAGGAAGACCGTCTACCCCTGGTGTCTTGTCTTCCTCCATTTGCAACAAGGCAGTCCAAATTTCTTCTTTAGTGACTGRCCCCTCCATCCTGTCTCGTTGATCCTGTGATAGAGATTGTGTTATAGGTTCCAAAAAACTTTTTATATCTTGATCAGTATTCTCCTTATTCACATTCGAAACAAAAAGATTTTTATAAAAATCATAGGCTGTCTTCAGACTTCTGGCTGAGGATACATTCCCCTCCTGTGGTGGTTTTGTAGGATCTATCAAAGCTTCAATAGTCGATCTCCTGGCTCTTGATCGGACTAATGCAAAAAAGGAAGCATCCATCTGACCCTCGGTCTGATGTTTAGTTAATTTTCCCCTGATCAAATGTCCTTGCCAACGTTGTTGTGCAAAGGTGAGAAGTTGATTTTTCGGCTCTTGTATATCCATAGATTGGGTTATTGTGTCCGTTTGTTGTTCATAATTAAGAATTTGTTCCTGAATTTGAATTTCCTGTAAATATTTAGATTTGGCAATTAATTTAGAGTATTCGTTACATTTTTTGGCCATGAAGACTAAACCGTTGTTGAACCATGATATATAAGAATCATGCTTTTCTTTAGTAGACTGTCAGAATTTCCAGACTTCCTGAATATAAGTTTTAAAACCTATGTGGGAAAGAAGAGACGTGTTGAGTTTATAAAAACTCCTTCCTTGGTCTACTTTTTTTCGAAAATATAAAATGACTGCGCACATTTTATAATCAGCCCCTGGCCAAGGATTCTGAGGAAAAATGTTGGCCCCCACTAGTGCCCTGTCCAGATCCTCTGACATAAGAATTAAATCTATACGAGATCTAGATTGATGTGAGGTGCCACAATTCCTAATACATGTGTACATACGTTCTTGAGGAAATATACGTCTATATGAATCAAAAAGATTTTCTGAATCACATAGTTGTTGAATGATCCTTTCATCTTCTTCAATATATTCAGGACAAGATTGTGGAATCTTCCAACGATCCAACCATCTGTCCGGGGCAGCATTAAAGTCCCCAGTGATGACCACCGGAACACCATTAGGAATGTGCCCTCTAATATCCTGGAAAATTTGTTTTCTATCTTGCAAATTGTTTGGACCATAAATATTAAGAACACATAGTATTTCCAACTCAAGCGTGACCAACACACAAATCCATCGCCCTTGCTCCTGATCACTTTTACAATATACTATCTCAGTTCGTGAGTCTGGGGGGACCCAAATAGCCACTCCTGCTGATCCACTCCAGGGTGCATGTGCCTGATATTTTTGGAAAGGCCAAGCTAGATTATGAGCTCGTTTATGAGCAGGAGAATCTGTGAGATATGTTTCTTGGATACAGATGATGTCTGGCCAAGAACGCCCTCCCACTCCCTTGAGTTGCTCCACAATGGATCTTCTCTTTTCAGCATCCCCAGTTGCAAGCCCATTAACATTAAGAGACCTGAGATCCAAATCTGTTGTTTGGGTAGCACGCTGCCAGGATGGATTTTTGCCATAAAATGCTTGAAGTGCGTCCATCTTAACTTGTTCCAAACAACCCTTAGAATCCTGCCGTGCCCAACTTCGTCCATCCAAGTCAGATGAAGTTGTCAGCAAACCCCGCCGTAGAATGGAGCACAAAAAAGTGGAAATTTCCGTGATCGTCCATACTGCATTAGCCTTAACCTTTAATTGTTGAAGGTCCAGCAAACCATCGAAGACCCGCTTCTTTGTTTTCCTCAAACTTCACAAAAGTATCCCTTGTAGACATTCTTGCTTGACTTCCTATTTCCATGAATGTTGCCTGTGGTCCCGAATCATAGTTTTTGGAAAGAAAGTCAAATAAATCCCTTTTAAACGTTCGCTCCCCTGCATTCCTGTAGTCCACGTAAGTGGTCCATCCCCTTAGTGTCACCCCTCCATATTGCTCCTGTCCTATGGGTGACAACCCCACTTCCCATTCCCACCCTTTTTCCTAACAGGAATGATCAGATTGCCTTTTGCTGATTGAGATCTTACAGCTTGACCTTTTTCCAATGCATGACGCAGTTTCTGTCTTTTGCCTAGATCCTTACTATCATTCCTTTGAGTAGAAAGGATTTTATCATTCACATCATCCGTATCTTCCTCCTCATGAACAGAACCGGATATTACTTCAGTAGGAGAGGAAGGTGCTGATTTTCTGTCTGTAATTTCTCCCCCTATCTCTATAGTCCTAGTCCACTGATCCCTGACTGAGACATCTCGTTGCTCCTTTATCATTTCCTCCTTTGAGTTCACCTCCCGTGCTTTAATGACTCCCTCCTCATTAATTATTAGTACTCTGTTTTTTTCCATTTCTATTTCTTTCTTCTCCTCCCCCCCTTCCCCCCTAACTGATTCCAAGGGGGACTCTACTACCACAATTGCAGAGTTGTCCTGCGCCCTTGAAACCTCCTCATTCGGGGAAGGATGAAACAATCTTAGAACAATGTCCAATATTTTTTGACTTACAGTCGACCATTGTGTTCCTTCTGGTAGCCCTGTCTGTAACACCTTTTTCAGACTGGGACTGTTATTAATCATAGAGAAAAGCTGTTCATATGATTTATCCCAAAAATCCTCTGAAGCTTCCCCAAATCTGTTTTTCAGATTACTTAATAGCCAATCTGCTAGCTGACTGGCTTTTTGTTCCTCCGATATGTCGGGATCAGACTGCTGACCTGCCTCCCCCATTTCAAAATCTGTGGGAGAAGAAGCTGAATCCACCTCCATTGGTGCTGGTCCAAAGGCCGCCTGGAAAGGATCATTATCTATTGTATTTCCTTCACTTTGATCTGTTGTCTGATCCTGTTGCTTCTCTTCTGCTGCAGATTCGGCTTCCATCTTTTCATTCTATTGGTTAGATACCGCTGGACCAACSTTTTTTTGACCTTGTGACTCAATCTGATATTCCCGTATTCCAGAGACCTTTGTGGCCTGATTCCTGTTTATTATTTGTTTTCTTCTCCTTTTTTTTTTTTTTTTTTTATCCAAGGAAGTTGAAGTACCCTGCTGAGGCTGAGATAAATCTCGTGCCTCTGTGACTTCCAAATCCTCATCATTTCCATTGGTCTCTTCTTCAGATTCCAAGACCTCTACTTCCTTATTTACATGACCACTTTCTTCTAAAGGCAGGTAATCTCCCGCACGTCACCCTTGTATGAAGAAGAAGCGGTGATTCAGGGCCAGAAACATTCCGCCCTAACCTCAGTTTTACCTTGCAAATCCCTACTAGCAACTGGGAGTCTTCTGTTCACCATTAAACTTAACTTCTGAAATCTTTTACCCGCCGGAAAGGTAACTACTAACATTTCCACTCTAATTCGACACCTCTCCACCCAAATAATTGTTGGATCAAAGCACCGCAGTAAGTCGCCCTTCTGCTTTTTACCCCGAGATTCGATTGCCAGATACTTTTAACCAGGGAGATCGCTGGTTCGGAATCACACTCCACGCCGTAATTCCGACAAAGCCTTGCGAACCCGTAGTGAGTACTAGAGAATACTAATGCTTCCTAACACATCACTGACCACCGAGCTACGATACTTCGCCAAGTTGTAACTTTTCAGCACTCTTGCTTAACACCGAGTACGAGGATGGCGAAGCCTTCCGCAAATGCGTCACTACACTGAGTTCTTATGGCTCGATGCATCACTCTGGGATGGCGATAGGTAGAGACTTGCTAACTCCCCCAGGGGGGGGGGGGAGAGTATAGCATCAGTTGCGAACAGCTTCACTCTTTCCACCCTAGCCCAACTATACTCCATACCAGCAAGGTAAGTTACACCCTAGCAGGGTAAACATCCGAACTTACCTCTTACCCCCTGAAGAGACGCACCTCTTACGCTTCTCCAGCGTTGATTACCTGACAGCGCCACGGTGGCTACACCTGATCCTACTCTAGGTCGGCTATGGACTACCTGGGTGGCGCAGGTGCATAGCAGGCAGAGCCCCACCCCCGATGAGGAGGTGTGCACGCGCCTTCCGATCCCCGTCGTGATGGCGGAGGTGTCGGCCAGGTAGAGCCGCTTGCGCTAACCGCCGGCAACGACCGAGTTACCGGAGCGCTGCGCTACGCCGCCCGGTAACGCCGCTCCCCTACCTCCAGCGGCCTCATTCCGCCAACAGAACCGATTTCTCGATCTCAATCCGCTGAGCACCCCTAGCATCGAATCCAGTTGTTCTGTTAAAAAAAAAAAAAAAAAAAAAAAGCACGAGCAGACCGGGTTTCCATGGCAGACGCAGATCCGTAAGCAGATGTCGGTCCGCACCAATAGATTGAAGCACACGACACAGGACGACTAGGAGGGGATGCACATACCACCACCCCGAGTAGAAAGGTGACGCCTTTTCCCAACAAAATAAAGGCAGGTGCAGATCCCCATCAATAGATTGGAGCACCCAGCAGGATTACCACGAGGCGATGCAGATGCCACCCCCCCCCTGCTAGAAGAAAGGTGGCTGTCTTTTCCAAAAAGCAAAAACCCTTGTTTTCTCTTTTTTTTTTGGAACTAAGTATTGGGATCTGATTGGACTGCAGAAACCTTCCGTTGCTGGTGCTGCTGGTAAGAGCAGTCAGCACTAGCACCGGAGGAGAGGCTCCATCTATTGGTGGGGAGCGTCACCTGCTGGAAACCGGGTCCAGCGTCCCATTTTACAAAGAGGAGAATTTGTTGGAGAATGCTGAAACCGATGACCGTGCGTGGCTGCAGAAACCGTGTTCCCAATCATGCATTTGAATACTCTTAACCCCAGAGACCTTGCCATAGTTTTCTTCAAAAAGGAAGACTCTGAGAGGAAGCACGAGCAGACAGACAAAGAGACAAATAGACAAAGAGACAAAGAGACAAAGAGACAAAGAGACCGAGAGAGACGCTTACTCTGAAGTATGACGTTCATCACGTGAGAGAGGAGACGGTGGAGTTGCAGTTGATATTGTCTAGTGAACGAAGCCATGGCAAAGGAGAAGGCGGTGTAGTTGGAGTTGGCCATGTCTAATGACCGAAGCCATGGCAAAGGGCGCAACAACAACCAGCAAGTGTCGGACTGCCCATCTCCGAACATTACCAATTAGCAAGTACTAGACAAAACAGAACGGGAAAAAAAAAAAAAAAAAAAAAAAAAAAAAAAAAAAAAAAAAAAAAAAAAAAAAAAAAAAAAAAAAAAGACAAAACAGAAGGACAGAGAAGGAGTACACTACTCCTACAGTCTACACAGGGTCAGCCGGATAAAAAGATACTACTATTAGACAGACAAAGGGCTGATCTTCCTGTATATTGCTGTAGTACACTATACACAGGTTCAGGCGAACAAGCACATAGTACTAGTATTAGACAGACAAAGGGCCATGACAAAGGGATGGCTATTATATTACTCATGGCTATTAGATTACTCTCAGTGGGAAACTGAGATCATGGCTATTGCATAGCCGGGGGAGAGGAGCAGACGGTGCAATTGACGACAGCTTTGGCGGGAGCGATCGCCCGGACGCCTGGGGGTATGCTCTTACAGAAATTAACGTTATCTACGTTGGCAAGAAAGTCGGAGGGGACAATGTTCACATTCTCGCTGCCAGGTGTCTTCGCGGTGTTCCCTTTAAAAGTGCAGTGGCAGAAATCTATGTCCCCGAGGGACGGATCGTCGATCCCGACTGCTCCGCCGGAGCCATTGGGCGCGGAATTGCCCGTGAATTCTGATTTCCACACGTCTCCCCCGATGTAGGAGAAGAAGATAGCTCCCCCGCCTTCCGCGCCGTCAGCCTTGTTACTCTGGAATTTGCACTGAGAGAAGTACAACCCCCCTTCATAGCCATGCACAGCTCCGCCGAGCCCCCCCGCAGTGTTGCCCACAAACTGGGACCCCGACACGTAGGCGCCGCCGTTGCTGGCCACCTTGATTGCTCCGCCGTTGCCGCTGGCCTTGTTGTCGCGGAAAGCGCAATTTTTGGCGATGATCCGCGCGTCGCGCACGCCGATTGCGCCGCCAACTTCCGCCGCGTTGTTTTCGAACACGCAGTCGGTCGCCCTGATCACGCCGTTGTACGCGAAGGCGGCGGCGCCGGAAGTTACGCCGAACGTGCGATTGCTGGGGACGTTATCGCTGGCGCTGGGCGTGCGCAAGTTCTTGAAATGCAATTTGCTGAGGGAGATCACAACGTACTCTTCGGTCCAGAAAGCGCGGTACTTTTTCTGCCCATCGATGACGCATCGGCGACCTCGAGGGCATTTGCCAACGACTGCGAAACGGCGGGTGATGTCGGGGAGAGACGCAGTCAGGAGCACATCCGACTTGAGAGTGAACTTCGTTACCCGGGGGTTCAAAATGGCAGCAAGCAGCTGTTGCTCAGGCGTGGGTGCAGCGGAAACGACGACCAGCCATAACCCTGACATCAGTGCTAGAAGCAGGAAGGCTACACCTACACGACGAGGAGCCATCATGCTGGAGGGTGTCCAGGGTCGGGGAATCAAGGGTCGTTTAAGTACGACTCAACAACAGGAGAGAGAGAGAGAGAGAGAGAGAGAGAGAGAGAGAGAGAGAGAGAGAGAGAGAGAGAGAGAGCTCTAGCAAGGGTGCCGAGAGTGGTGGTGTCGTAATGAAAGCTGCCGATGTTGATTGGTACTATTAATTGGTTTGTCCGTTTTGATGAGTGAGCGGCTGTGGTTTCGGTTAATCCGCTTGATAGCTTTGGGCGATGGATGCTGTGAAGACTTGAGATCTGCAGCACCACGTTCATAAAAAAAAAAAAAAAAAAAAGCACAACACACATGCCACACAAACACGTGTGTTAGCACTGTTAGGCGATTAACTTGGCTAAAAAAAACATCAATCCCTCTCGTCGGACTCTTCATTACTCGCTTTCACACTGTACTGAAAGTGGATCGGAACCTTGTCCGGCTAATGGCGGGGCCTGCCCTTAGCAACAACCCTGTTATCAGCCTCCCCTCACCTGCGATATTTTATTACTTCAAAAAAAAAAAAAAAAAAAAAAAAAACGAAAGAAACGAGAGAGTGAATCGAAAACTTGATCGGGTTTTCACACGGATCTGCATCATTCTGACACTCGCTCTCAAAATGGTTTATGAAACCTCGACAGAAGCAAAAAGACGCAACAAAAGGAATTCAATGTGAAAGCCATCCAGATTCCAGAACACCCTGACATCTCGTTGGCTATGCCTGCGCCCGACCCCTCGCTTGCAGCCTTAGATAGAATGCGCCACCTCTTGTTCTCCATCACCAAGCAGCGAATCTGGACGATTAGTTCCGGAATGGAATGCCAAACAACTGACTGACAGCTCGTGAATTTTGACACGCTTCTTCAGGGCGACGGCCTTACGGGGGTCTATCACTATCACCGTCTGTGCGAGTCAAAATCAAGATCGTGTGTGTGGGCGTGGTGGTCTCATGTTCGACGTATACAACTCCACAAAAAAAAGGGAAAAAGAACGACGGTGCCAGTCTGAGACTGTTTCGTCGGACTTTTCACCGACTCATCAGGAGGTTGAACCCCGACGGTCTGCCCACAATGCATTAGGACTCACCACGTCGTTTTCGAAGCAAAACAGAGACTCGAGAAACGGACTCGATCAGTACCTCCACGTCTCTCCTTCGGTAGAGCAAGTAGCCGTAGCCGAAGCCGCCTCTGGCGCAGCCGCAGCGTGCGTCCCCTTTGGCTCCCAAACGTCGCGCACTCGCGAAGAGCTCTTACACGACGTTCCAGGCAACCATCTTGCAGACCGGCCGGCTCTCTCAACTCTCATGCCGCCTCTGTACTTTCTGTAGACTCTTTATACCTTGGTAATCTCTCTCTCTCTCTCTCTCTCTCTCTCTCTCTCTCTCTCTCTCTCTCTCTCTCTGTGTGTGTGTGTGTGTGTGTGTGTGCGCACACCCCCCCCGCTTCCCCCCTCTATTGTAAGTCAATCCCCTTGAAGAAAGGGCAATAAATGCTGTTTCCCTGGGGATTGTACTTTCTGCAAATGAAAGGGGTATGGCCAGTCAATCCCCTTGGAGAAGGAGCAATTAATGTTGGATCCCTGGGGAATCTACTTTGGGGTGATATTAGAAATAGCGCGTTTAGCGCGTTCCATATGCATTGGACAGAGAGAAATGGGGCCAGGTTCGGGGGCCTGGACGCACTAGCGAAGTATTCTACCACTCCGTTCAGGATTTTGATCACGTGTGGCCTCGAGTGACGCAGTACGGCCGTCGAATACATCGGATCTGGACGATCTCGACGGCCTGGTAGTTTCCGAGCGGGGGCTGTAAAGATGCCCACCTCCCTCCCGTCCAGTGAGATGCGTCCAAAAAAAAAAATCCAACAAAGTTGGACATGATAGCGCGTGGCTTTGGGTGGGAGGGAAGTCTGGATTTTATGGATTTGAAAGGGGGGGGGGTCAATTTCCAGACTTCGTTTTTTTTTTTGGCTCTGAGAAATAGAACTTGAAATGTGAAATTCGAATATTGTGGTGGATCTGACAGGAAAGCTTCGGCGTCTGTAGGATGTGTGTGTTCAGACAAAGCGCCAAGCCAGATGCCAAGCCGTATGGATACCACAGATCAACTTACGGCAACAAAGTCAACGGGAAGATGTCAACATCACCGTGACCAATTGACAAGAGGAAAGAAGGTGGAAGAAGAGAAAGGGAGAAGAGGAAAAAGTAAGAAGGAAGGTAGACCCAAGAAGAGACACCAGTACGCAGTAGTACAGTACCCGTCTGTCGGATGGCCTGCTCGAGGCATAATGAGATACATGGTGATGAATGTATCCCAATACCCGTTACTTGTTCATCCTCCTGACTGTGTTTCGTGGACACATTTTATTGCCACGGTACATCACTGTAAGTCTATGATGAGTGTATCCCAATACCCGTTACTTGTTCATCCTCCTGACAGTGTTTCGTGGACACATTTTATTGCCAGGGTACATCACTATGAAGACTTACGTGAAGGAGATAGTACCAACCCACGAATTCGGGTGCACAGCTGTTCTTCATAGTTTTATGTGCTATTTCAATTCATTCATGCAAATAAAAAATCACTTTGTATTGTCCAAAAAAACATAAAATTGCATCACACATCCTAGAATACTTGCTAGTGGGTCCAGGCCCGGGGGATCTACAAAGAGCCCGACTGAATATGAATATGATCTCAGAGGCTTGCCACACAGGCTTTCAACAGGTGTCAGAAAAAAATTGAAACTCAGCGGTAGACAGTTTACCCCCCCCCACCTCCCCCAAGCCACACAGGCTGTCGAGGGAGGGGCAAGGTTGTGTTTGGTCAATTGCCAAATGGAATCCGCCTTTCTTTTTTTTTTTTGACTCCGCCTTTCCACAGGGCACGGAACATGAAAACAGCATCCTGGTGGGAGTTGGTGTTTTTGTAAAGAGGAGTGTGGGGAGGTTCTATCCGCTTTAAATCGCGAGGAGGTGGGTGGGTTTGCGGGGTCTCTGTCAGCAGTTTGGGGTCTGTGGGCACAGACCCCTGCCACGCGGGTGGTAGGGAGGATTGGCAGGGGTTGGTAATAACTCGGGATGAATGGTGGACATGATCACGCAGCGCTGAGTCGCTGACCGCTGGTTTGTTTTTTTCTTTGTTTTTCTGTGTGGTTTTGATTCGTTTTTCGTTGGTAGTTCCTTTTGCACATGATTTCTTAATGGTCGGTGGAATTTAGGTCACTAGATTAGGGTTGACATGACTATTGTGAGTAGAGTTTTGGTGATGAACTTCAGATTTTGATGATAAATTTGGTTGATTTTTCAGTGGTAGGGGCTGTGGAATTGGCTGTGGAGTTGGCTGCAGGGTGAAATCTAGTGGTACCCTGGATGTGCTTGGCCGGTGATGCTTTGCCCGCCGAGGGCCCCACCTACTATGGACAAATAGCATGATCTGGACAGACGTTATGCAGATAGTAGCACAGGGAAGCATTTAAGACTATCAGCACATGGGTTGGTTACGATCGAGCTTTGAACGGCTAAGGAGCACGGGACATCGGTTGAGGGACCAATGCATGCGCTCCGGCAGTACTTAATTGAGAAGGGATCAAGGATCGGTCTCTTGGAAGTTTTTCTGCTCCTCCTGATGATCTAGGCTGGTGGGCCTAGTCTTGACATGTCCACTTGTACGCCTGCAAACAGTCCGTTACGAGTACCGCGGCTGTCCTTATGAGTACCGCGGCTGTCCTTCCTACTTTCACGACCATAGCATTGTTGCTCTTGCTTTTTTTGGTTTCGTCGTTGCTTCTTTTCCCCCACTGCCGTGATGACGACCGGGGGGCAATAATGCCCTCAAGGATGGTGCACTCTCACACCACCTCCAGATTCGGTGTCCACCTGCTTTCATGACCACAGCTCGTTTTTTTTTTGTTTTTTTTTTTTTCCATGTGAGGCCTAGACATCTTGGCTGTGGCCTGGACATCTCAACCATGGCCCAGCCACGGGCGTGGCCTAGACATCTTCGGCCATGGCCCAGCCACAGGCGTGGCCTACACATCTCGGGCGTGGCCTAGACATCTTGGCCGTGGCCCAGCCACGGGCATGGCCTAGACATCTCGGCCGCGGCCCAGCCATGGGCATGGCCTAGACATCTCGGCAGCGGCCCAGCCACGTGCGTGGCCTAGACATCTCGGCCGCGACCCATCCACGGGCGTGGCCTAGACATCTCGGCCACGGCCCATCCATGGGCGTGGCCTGGACATCGCCACCATGGCCCGGCCACAAAATGAAAAACAAAAAAAAAAGAA